AAAAAAAAAACGCTGAATTTATAATATAATGAACTTAGTATTGATTTATTACGTGATCATTCATAGACAGGCTGACGTCCTAATTTCTTTTGAGATATTATCAAGTAACCTTTCACATGGTTACGACCGGATGAATTCGACGACCGAAGCGCACTTGACGTTGTTTTCCTTGCAAGTTTATGACTGCTTGCTCAGCCATGCGGCCACATTTCTCTTCTTTTGATTTTCGGGAACTTCATAAACGCGGGCCTGAAGTGAAACTCTGGGGTCAATTCTTACATGGCTAGTAGACATGGTATTCAAGCTGAAGGAAAAATGCTCACTTTAGTGATTTCATCGAGATCCGTTAAGCCTCGGTCAGTGTTGAGTTCGAAATCAGTAAGTTCCGAGTCCATGCTGTAGAAATGAGAAGCTACAATTTTGGAAATATTAAGCACTGACTCACCTGGGCATCTTGATTATATTCTCTTCTTGGTAAGTTTTTATCAGTCGCTTCTCAAAGTTTTTGATTTCTCCACAAGATTTTGTCTTTCCAATCTGGTGAAGTTGCTTATGGCGTTTCACCACTGGGCGTTCACCGATTGCATCGAACGAAGCTGGAACGATCTGTAGATGGTAGCGGGAAAGCTATATTACGAACTCGACATTGTGATTAATTTATAGATTAGTTTTTCCTAGTGATATGTGCTCCAGGACGAAGGCGTTTGCCTAAATAGATTGAGAGCGTGAAAGGCTGCCGCACGCGCGGGAAGTCTCGCCCGTGGTTGCCTGCTCGACCAAGTAGGGTTGCCTGCTCGACCCTGCTCGACCCTCCAACTAGATACAACCATTGTTGAGGATCTGGTAAAGCAAAGCGGCTCGTAAAAACCGAGCACTGCGGACAGCGACTGAAATTCTTTGTACCCGTTCCTCTGTCGAATTTCGCCGTCGAAATAAAGGAAGGAGTACTGCAGTCAAGTTCGTGCGGTCCCAGAGCAACTCTGCTCCTCAATCAGCCTTGTCGCACAAATGTAAAATACAGGGTGTCCCGACAAGATGTGCACACTGTTTGATTGTCAATAATTCTCTTGATTTCATGTCTGGCAATGAAATGGCAGTGAAATTGCATAATGCTACACAAAAATTGATTTGATGTTGTTTCAATATCCCAGCATCTTTTTCACGCAGATATCTACCTACAGATTGTCTTCCCATAAAGTAGTGCGTCAGTAGAGCGCGATGCTAACCCTTTTCGGTATAGCGGTTCAGAGCTAGAGACAACTTTGATTCAGCGTTTCAAGCTGATTCCAAATATGTGTGCTTTTCAAGAGGGCGACCCAACTTAAGTGCTTTCCCGTGTCAGTTCGATTTATCGAAAAAATCTACGGAAGTCATACTTGAAATCTTATGCAACTCATTATTCGTTATGTACTTGAATTATTGCGCTTAAGAACATTGTAAAAATCAAGAGGAATGACAGCGAGATTGATTAGTACTGCTTTCTTATATAGCCTTTCAAACTGTGGCGGTCAACCAAAATTCTAGTTTCTGACGTAGGCGGCTCAGCTGGTGAATGAGCTAACGTGTCCCAGGCGAAGGCGGTTGCTCATGAACTGAGACATACCGAGGCTAAACATTCTATGGATAAATGGTGCACGGTCCCTGCGTTTGCAATGGCCCTCATTCGGGGCTTGCCTATACCATTA